CCCCAAAACCCCAAAACCCCAAAACCCCAAAACCCCTTTATAGGATTTAATATTGATTATATAAAAATGGATACATTTCATGTGGAAAGGAGTGGAAGATATAAATCTGTGATTGCTCAGAAGGGTCCGTCATTTGATAAAATTGTGCTGGATAAAACTCTTAAGAAATTCGTTGATACCAAACATTTATACAAACCAAAAAGCAAATAAGCTTCATCTTAAAAGTACAGAGTATGTTTATCTTATTTTATCTTTTATTTTAACATCTAATTCTTGATTTCCACAAGAGATATTCATTAAAGCAAAATATTGCTATTATAAACCACACATTCCTTCTCTCTCCTATACCTCACTACTTCATAACCCACCTTTCATCTCCTGACCCTCAACCCCACTACCTCACCTCCTCTCACTATTAATCAATCCTTCAAACTCACCTAATTACAGCCAAATTTCCAAAAATCAGGCATTTTCAGAGAAGAAGGCGTATCCCAGGCAGAAAGCTTTAGTGTAGGCAGACCCTTAAGTCTTCACGAAGAAGCATAAGAAGGTTTACTTGTCCCCAAAGAGATAGCTTAGAGGGAATTATGACCCAATGGCATGTAGAGATACAATAAGTGCCACGCTTTTGGGATTTTAGGGGGAATAATGGGATGGGGATAAGAAGTTTAGGAATCCTTATTGGGATTTTGGGGGAAATTTGGAATTTTATGGGGGTTTTGGGGGGTTTAGAGCGTGATAGGGGTGTGCTGAGTTAAGTATGGGATCGGATTGGGTTTTAGGAGATGGATAGAAGCAAAGAGGTTGGGGAGAGTTAGAGTTAATAATTTGCTTCAAATTGAATTGGGTTTCATTATTTTTGCAATATATGACCCATCCAGGTTGTTTAAAATAGTACAATTGTGTATTAATGATTCCTTAGTTATATTCAGATATTTTGATAACCCTAAAATTTAGTTTTACCTTTACTATAATAAGTTATTCCTATTCAATATGCTGAATTTATAGAAATTTTATCCCAGCGAGTTAAATTATTACGAAATCTCTAATTTAGTTGACCATTTAACATGTCTACTTTTAATATATTTATCCGCAAAGGTAGACAAATAACTTCGCTAAAGTTCTACTAGCTTCCAAATTTTAAATAAGAAAGTTCAGAGTAATTAATTTATGTTAAAGCATCAACTCTGAATTTTCCAATCAAAAATATGTATCTAGCAGAGAAAGTAAATTTATCCACTGACATTATAGATATGGGCAAGAGAGAACATGAGGTTCATGACATGATGATCAAAAGTTGCAGCAGAATTGTACTAAATATGCAGAATAATGGACAGTATAAATCCCAACCCTCACTCCGTGTGAATTTGAAGAAGCAAAAGCATGGCGAAGCTTCAAGAACTCGTAGGGCATTTTGTGCATTTTATAGCAAATGAATACTCATATCAGGAGCAGGATAGTAATTTAGAAAAATAGTCTTCCAAAAGAATCTCATGTTAAGACTGGTATTAATCTTGAAATTGCAAAGAGTCATGATAATATCAATGACTCAGGACCTTCATTATTCAAGACCAGGCAGCCAAATCTGCTTGAATTCTTCCAAAGGATTGTTAACAAAGATTTTAGCAGGAGTAAGAATTCTCATAATCTCTAGAACATCATAATAAGTAAAAATCAAGTAATATATCTGTAGGATAACCAGGAGTCAGAATATGAGATACCAGATCAAGGAGAAGAGCATTCTGTATAAGCCGTAAGCATGTTCATGATTCTTAGGCATAAATAAATCCCCACTGAAATCATATATAAAGCAGCTAAAATCAAAGATAGGAACTTTGGAGGAACACCCAGAACTGGAGATAAACAATGGCAATAATGGCTGCGATTATGACTCTAGTTCGCCTTTTGGATTATCTATAGACCAAAAGATGACCAACTGGATGTCTGATAGGAACTATAATGTATTTACCTTAGTTAAAATATAGAAATACAAAAGCTTAGAGAAGTAATATCCTTTCAAACATTTAGTCACTCAATGTTGCTAAATAAGCAACTGAGGAGAAGAAAAAGAAATAGAATGAGCACTGGAGGGCTTGCCAATAAGTTTAAATTTTCAGATGATCAGTGCGATGGGTTGAAATTGCTCAGATTAAAATTACCGAAGATAGACGAAGGTTGAAAAAAATAATTCATTGGTTGCTTCTCAAGACAATTTAATTGCTAATCAAACTCCTTCAAGTCTTGCCTCAAGTTGTCTCGCTCCAAATGGTAATTTTCGTCTGATCCTATAAAATTATCCTAAACTTTAAATAATAATAGTCAGCTATGTTTCTGAAGGATTTGACCCAGCATCTCAAACAAGACAAGAGCCAGAGCCAGTCTACATGAACGTAGTGATAAAAAGAAACCTTGGTCGAAAGGACTACGGTTAGCTTAATAAAGTTTCCCAAAGTATCTCATTTAATATGTATGTAAGCACTTTCAACTATATCCTGATAAATTGGGGTTTTGGGGTTTTGGGGTTTTGGGG